TGTGTATGTACACGCGTTAGAAACGCCCACGGTGTAGCTGTGTATCGAACGGGTGGGGTTGCGCCAGGCTTCCCCCCCCCTAGTACTTCCTGCCCCTCTCCGTTAGGACTGATTTTACATTTAAGAAAATGAACACTTCAACTTTACTGTTTAAAACTAGTTCTTGGTAAAAATTCCAAAGGAGTCATGCCGCTTAATCGGTTTCTGAATTATAACCTCAAAAATCGAATGTACACCACATATAAATCTGCATATTGAAAAAGCTCTGTGTGCTGCTAAACTGCCGAGAATAACGGGAGTCTCGTGGCAAACTGGGTAAGATGAAAAATGCACACACGTAACGTCATGGGTGCTTTTTGATTTTGAATGGGGGTGAATTGTCTGTAAGCGAAATATTTGTGAAGTACTGAACTAACCAACTTGAAACAGCAAGAGAGAAAATGAACCAATTCTCGCTAAAGTCCAAAGAACTCCGTTTGAGGGGTGGAGGGCTGCGGTGGATTGAAAATCACTGTGGAATTACTTACACAGGTGGTACCAGGAGAGACCGCCCTGGCCTTTTATAAAGCGAAAAATCCTACCGACAAACCAATAATTGGAATCTCTACCTACAACGTAATACCCTTTGAAGCAGGACAGTATTTCAATAAAATACAAGTAAGTGTGAACAGAGCAAAGATTCCATTTTCCTTTACATGAATGAGAAGAGTTATCCATAAACTAACTTTTCTAGTTTTAATCCTGGATACCATTCTTTGTATGCCAGCATTTTAAGAAAATACCTTGGTTTTTTCAAACGACAGCGCACGAGTTTGTTGCTAGCCTTACTGTCTTCATACCAAGCTGCAGTACGTGTCCAATTAGAGTGGCTCCCAAATATATGATATTTAGTACAACTGACGCTGAGGGCAGGTCGCAACGATGTGAGCTAGCCCGGCCAATTTGCACGTTTGGACACTTCATTAAAAGCTAATTTTTTTTTTTTTCCCCTGTAACACAGGAGGAACAGAATTGCTGTCTTGTTGCTCACATGGTTGATCCTTCCCAGGATTTCAGGGATGTACAGGGAGTGAGAGTTGATTTTAAAAGATGAAGCTTTCTCTCATGTTGGCAAAGAAGAAGTTTACCATAGCTATTGTTGTCTAACTGTTTGGGTTTTTTTTTTCCTCCCCCATGCAGTGTTTTTGTTTTGAAGAACAGCGGCTAAATCCTCAAGAGGAAGTGGACATGCCTGTCTTTTTCTACATTGATCCAGAATTTGTAGAGGACCCCAAAATGGCCAAAGTCGATTTGATCACCCTCTCTTACACCTTTTTTGAAGCAAAGGAAGGACAGAAGTTACCACTTCCTGGATATCAGTAATGGGCAGTGTGTACGCCGTTTGACTTCTGCTACCTGACTACCAGCTTTGAAACTGTTTTTCCATGGAAGGAAAAACTGCAGGAGTACTGTGCAATATGAAATTATATTATTAAACCACCATGGGCACATGCTGCTGTTATGAAAGGATACATTTCTATTTAAAAAAAAAACAAACCACCAACTTCTATAGTTGGAATATCATTTCTTAGGGATAGTATTTCTTCGTCAGACAATAGAAGGAAACACACTGTTCCTGGAAGAGAGGGTTTTCCTCAAGCCATCTTTTATAAGATGATACGTGGTATCTGAGTACTGTGAGGCAAATTTTTAAACCCAAGTGTAAACTGAGATCTTCATTTAAATACATTTAAATAAATCAGTTTATTAAGCATCCAAAATTGCATTGCTGGCTCTGAAGAATAATTTCCATGTAAGTTACTGTATAAAAAGGTAAAAAGAGGTAATCAGTTCATGAAATCTCAAAACTAAGCAAAAGTTGGGCTGTATTGCTGTGTAACCCTCCCAGGGCACAGGAGGATATGACGATTCAGACGATGCACCCTCTCGAATTACTACTGAATCAGTAGTTCATGTGGTAAGAGCAGACTGCTCTCAAACTGTTATCATTTGAATGAGGAACAGTAATTTAAACGTAAGCACATCAAATCTGTGGTGTGGTTTCCATTTAGAAATAGCCTCTTCAGACTTCGATGTTGCGTTGAACTCATTTGAAATGTCTGTACTGCTACTGACTGCTCTTTCCCCCGGCAGAGGGCTGCCCACCGGGCACCTCTACGCCGAGACAAGCTCAGCTTATGCGTGAAATGCTTTGAAGGGAAAGGCGGTACATAAACAACTGCTCTAAACTGCAGGCTAAATTAATAACACAGGAGTCTCCTCAAAAACCAAAAGGAAACCAACCCCATTCAGAGGTTAAGTCTGACAAAGCCTGCCCAGAAGCGTATCGGTTGTTCAGAGGTGCTCTAGGTACCCTGTTTGCCATCAGAAGGTGCAAGCCTATGTTTATGTAACTTTTGGTCATTATCTGCGGGGCAGGGATAATAACACTTGATCATAGCTTTGCAAATGAGGAGTGAGTTGCAGAGCAAGTTTAAGTGACCTACTCATTTTCAGACGGGAATTAATCTCGGCCCAGTATCTCATCTGCTAGGCCAGTTCTTTCTACCCCTTGCAGCAGACGAGAGCTAACAAAATAAGACTGATGTTGGTTTGTTTGGACTCTAAGAAGGTAATGGGTATAGCGGAAATAACTTCCGGTTGCTTTAGCCTCAATTACGTTTGCACACCATAATTTGAAAAGTGCTTTTTGAAAATAAATGGATGCTACCTTTAAAATGCATTATTGTACCACTTATATGTGGTGTTTAAGTAGATTCTGGATGACATTCATGTCAGGTCTTCACTGTGTACTTATTAAAGTTTTAAAACTTCTCATTCTTTCATTTCTCTAATGCACTTTATCCAGCAGAACATGTGGAGCCCGCACAAGTGAAATACATCTGTATGAAGACAACAGCAAGCTTTATAATCTGTAATTCCAGTTATGCTTCAGAAAAAAAAATACCAAGACATCTTTGAATCCAGGCTAGGGAAAAAAAAAATTCCTACCTGGGTTGTCTTTAGTCCATTGTCTTTTTGAAAGTTGAACTGATTATGGGAGTTTTCCACACGTTGCTTTGCTCTGGCCACGTGCTTCAGAAGAAAAGGAATATCCCCCTGGCAAGTGCCAGTTTCATAAAAATGGGGGGTTCCCCTTGAGTTTGCAAGCTGAAGTTTGCACAGGTGCTGAGCACGTGCCAGCCATGAAAGCAGCTCTCTAACCTCAGTAATTAGCCAGTTCCCTTCAGAGCTTTCATCTGTCCCTGACCATTTTGCTTCTCTAAATATGGAAGAGCTCAGTTAGCAATCATCTGTGATGGATTACCATACTGAAATAGCCTATTTTAATTTGTTACACTTCAGTGTGCTAGAGTTTCAGCAATACAACCAAGCTGTA